GACTTAAATGTAATTATGTAATAATAAGTGAGGAGCCCTTATTCTATAAAATGGACTCCTCACCCTCACAATGGGGAGGGGCTCTCATATTAAGAGCAAGCCCCATCATCCTCTCCAAGCCTCACTCACATTATAAAGGCTCTCTCCCTCACAATCCTCTCAGAGAAATACAATATCAGTGTGGACGTAGCCCAAACATTGGGGTGAACCACGATACATCTTGTGTTATTTACTTTCTTGCAGATTCACGGTCGGATTTACGTTGTTCCAAGACCTCCGGTTTTGTGCATCAACATTTGGCGCCGTCTGTGGGAAACGATACGAAAAGTTGTGTCAGTTATCTTTCATTTTTTCACCTCCACCGTGAATCTGCAAAATCTGTAAATAAAAACCCAATAACCCAAAACTTTCCAGAGAAAAAAAAATCACAAAAACCAAGAACACCACTCTCTCTGTCTCTCGGTAGAAAGTTCTCATCTTTCTCTCTTTACGTTTCTGGAAACACTACATACTACACCAAGAAATTTGGGTCTTTATAGATATCATCTCTTTGTCTCTCCGTGAGTGTACCCACTAGACCCCATTTACCATCATGCTCCAAGCAGCTCAACGATGGATCTCTCCACCACCAAGACGACGACAACGACGCTGTCGCCGGGACTCCTAGGACCAAGCAAGTCATCAAGGCCCTCACTGCCCAGATCAAGGATATAGCATTGAAGGCCCCAGGAGCTTACAAAAAATGCAAGCCCTGTTCACGGTCATGCACTGACAACCGTCACTAAAGCTATGCCGACTCCGATGCTAACTCAGAATCGTCGGGTTTCCACGGCTCGTACAGGCGAACGGGGAGATCCAATTTGACCCCGAAGCTATGGGGGAATGAGATGGTACACTCTGAGGGAGCTGGAGGCGGCGACGAATAAGTTGCGTGAGGAGAATGTGATTGGGGAAGGAGGGTACGGTATTGTTTACAGTGGGATTCTCAGCGACAAGACAAAAGTTGCTGTCAAGAACAAAGCCCCAAAGACAACACCTCCTTCTGGAACTTCTTCAACACCTTTGCTGAGCTCTGCCGAGCATCGTCATCATCCTCGGCGTATTTCCTCATGTTGGTGTCGCTGGCCGACCTAATTGGCGTTGCAATTTGACAATGTCGCAAGAAATTTTTTAAAAATTTTTTTTTCGCAGAAAATAAATATTTTTACTCATAAAAAAAAATATTTTATTTTTATGGCAGCAAATGATAAAATTTTTATTTTCATCACCTCAAAAACAAAAAACCACCATGATCTTTTTATTATGTTTTTTTTCTATGCTACACCTTTTACAAATTTTTCACTAAATTTCATTTTGGCTTAATAATCATTTCAATCTATTTGGTTTTCACCTCACCTCATTGCTCAATTTTGAAAATTAAGATAAGTTTCCGTTGAGATTCTTGAGGGTGGAACCCCATTTGACAATGTTTTAGTCCTCACTATTGTATTTTTCGCTTATTTTTTCAGTTTTTGGCTTAACTATTCTACTAAGTTAACATTTGTTGCTCAATAAATCATAAAACCTCTTCCAAACACCTTATAAAAGTTTCCTTAATGCCCGTGGAAAATATTTCGCAAAAATAAAAAATTTCATTTTTGACCAAAAAAAAATGTGGGTTAACAACATTCACAGCCTTTAGTCGGATTTGCAAATTTGTACATAAATCATTGTTCAATCTATTTTATTTTCAGCTTAATCTCAATGTGAAGGTTTGAAAATTAAGGTGAGACTTCCTATTGAGATTCTTGAGGGTGGAACCCCATTTGACAATGTTTTGGTCCACATTCTTGTATTTTTCACATTTTTTTTCTTTAGTTTTCAGCTTAAATATTCTACTAAGTATACATTTGTAGCACAATAAATCATAAAACCGCTTTCAAACACCTTATAAAGTTTTCCTTAATGCTTGCGGAAAATATTTACATTAAATAAAAAAATTCATTTTTGACCAAAAAGACGTGGGTTAACGCTCACTATTTTTATTCGGTTTTACAAATTCATACATAAATCATTGTTCAAACTATTTGTTCTCACCTTCACCTCATCATGAAATTTTAAAAATTAAGGTAAGACTTTCTGTTGAGATTCTTGAAGGTGGAACCCCATTTGACAATGTTTTGGTCCTCACTATTGTATTTTTCACTTCTTCTTCTTTTTTTTTTTTTTTCAGTTTTCGGCTTAAATATTCTACTAAGTATACATTTGTTGCTCAATAAATCATAAAACTGCTTCCAAACACCTTATAAAGTATTCCTTAATGCTTGCAGAAAATATTTCACAAAAATAAAAATTTTCATTTTTGACCAAAAAAAATGTGGGTATTAACTCACGATTTTTAGTCGATTTTACAAATTTGTAAATAAACCATCGTTCAATGTATTTGTTTTCACCTTCGCCTCTTCTTGAAATTTTGAAAATTAAGGTAAGACTTTCCGTTGAGATTCTTGAGGGTGGAATTTCATTTGACAATGTTTTGGTCCTCATTATTGTATTTTTCACTTGTTTTTTCAGTTTTTGGTTTAAAAATTCTACCAAGTATACATTTGTTGCTCAATAAATCATAAAACCACTTCCAAACACCTTATAAAGTTTTCCATAATGCTCGCGGAAAATATTTCTCAAAAAAAAAAATTTCATTTTTGACCAAAACAAATGTGGGTGGTATTCACTGCTTTTAGTTGGTTTTGCAAATTCGTACATAAATGACCGTTCAATCTATTTATTTTCAGCTTAACCTAATGTGAAGTTTTGAAAATTAAGGTGAGACTTCCATTGAGATTCGTGAGGGTGGAACCCCATTTGACAATGTTTTGGTCCACATTATTGTATTTTTCACATATTTTTTCTTCTTCAGTTTTCAGCTTAAATATTCTATTAAGTATACATTTGTTGCTCAATAAATCATAAAACCGCTTTCAAACACCTTATAAAGTTTTCCTTAGTGCTTGCAAAAAATATTTCCCAAAAATAAAAATTTTCATTTTTGACCAAAAAAATGTGGGTTAACATTTATGATTTTTAATCGGTTTTACAAATTTGTTCATAAATCATTCATCCAATCTATTTGTTTTCACCTTCGCCTCACCGTGAAATTTTGAAAATTAAGGTAAGACTTTCCATCGAGATTCTTGAGGGTGGAACCCCATTTGACAATTTTTTTGGTCCTCACTATAGTATTTTTCACATACTTCTTTCTATTTTTGGCTTAAATATTCCACTAAGTATATATTTGTTGCTCAATCAATCATAAAACCGCTTTCAAACACCTTATATAGTTTTCCTTAGTGCTTGCGGAAATATTTCCCAAAAATAAAAATGTTCATTTTTTACCAAAAAAACGTGGGTTAACACTCACGATTTTTAGTCGGTTTTACAAATTCGTACATAAAATCATCGTACAAACTATTAGCTTTCACCTTCGCCTCATTGTGAAATTTTGAAAATTAAGGTAAAACTTTCCGCTGAGATTCTTGAGGGTGGAACCCCATTTGACAATGTTTTGGTCATCACTATTGTAGTTTTCACTTATTTTTTTCAATTTTCGGTTTACATATTTTTACTAAGTATACATATGTTGCTCAATAAATCATCAAACCACTTCCAAACACCTTACAATGTTTTCCCTAATGCTCGCCGAAAATATTTCACAAAAAATAAAAATTTACATTTCTAACCAAAAAAAATGTGGGTTAACACTCACGATTTTTAGTCGGTTTTATAAATTCGTACATAAATCATCGTTCAGTATATCTGTTTTCACCTTCGCCTCCCCATGAATTTTGAAAATTAAGGTAAGACTTTCCGTTGAGATTCTTGATGGTGGAACCCCATTTGACAATGTTTTGGTCTTCACTATTGTATTTTTCACTTATTTTTTCAGTTTTCGGCTTAAATATTCTAATAAGTATACATTTGTTGCTCAATAAATCATAAAACCACTTAAACCACTTCCAAACACCTTATAAAGTTTTCCTTAATGCTCACAAAAAATATTTCCCAAAAATAAAAAAATTCATTTTTTTGACCAAAAAAACGTGGGTGCTCATGGTTTTTAGTCGGTTTTGCAAATTCGTACATAAATCACCATTCAATCTATTTATTTTCACCTTCGCCTCAATGTGAAGTTTTAAAAATGAAGGGGAAACTTTCCACAGAGATTCTTGGGGGTGGAACTTCACTTGACAATGGTTTGGTCCTCGCTATTGTATTTTTCACACTTATTTTTTCAGTTTTCGGCTTAAATATTCTACTAAGTGTACATTTATTGCTCAATAAATTACAAAACTGCTTCCAAACACCTTAAAAAAAATTCCTTAATGTTCACAGAAAATATTTACATTAAATAAAAATTTTCATTTTTGACCATAAAGACGTGGGTTAACACTCACTATTTTTAGTCGATTTTACAAATTCGTACATAAATGATAGTTCAAACTATTT